TTTGGGATTTAATAGAGATTCATGAATTTTCATGCATTGTTCATGGAAAGCTCGCTCATGCTCGCCCATTGTTCATGGAAAGCTCGCTCGGAAGCTCGCTCATGTGTTAAATTGAAATTTGAAATTGAACTGCAAAAATATGGGTTTGTTTCGATTCGGAATAATTATAAAACGACTTCCGGAGACTGATCAACTTTGAATACGAACTGCTTTTACCCTACAGGGAGCTGACGAATATTCGAATCTCGTAAATTCGTTTATAAATGCTATTGTAAACGCTAAAATCAGTGCTAGATCGAACTTGATTAACATTTAGTGAAAATTCTATTTATTATTCATTATTATAGTATTCATTAAGGGGAATGACCTCCAAGATTTTAAAGAATTTCTGGCATCATGTTGAACGTAAATGATTAGAAAATAAATTGGAGTTCAATTACATTACTGATATAGATACATTCTAAGTAAGTTGACTACATAGAAATTTCAATTTAGACATTTTTTACCCTAAAAAATTCTACATCACGAAAGTAATGAGTCAGTCAGTCAGCATCTTTACCAGAGTAAAAGAATGAGCTGATGCATGCTTATACAATACACTTTTATTCACTCCAATGTAGTTGAACACATTATTAATAATATGAACTTCATTCATTTTTCTTCTGTTAAAAAATAGCTTTATTATTTAACTCTGGACACGGTTGTGCCCAGTATATGGAAAAGTATTTTTTTTTTTCAGGATTTCAATTAGTGTAAGCCACAGGCTTATGCGAATTTTCGATACTCTAGTTTCAAAGAATTTTATTGAAAATTTTTGAAAACATAGTTTCTGCAAGTATGACATAAGAAATACTAGCTATCTATAAGAAAAACAAATATTAACAAAACGAAATCCAAGTAATCCAAAAAAATATCATATCAAAATCATTGACGAAAGACTAATAAATTGCAGCACTAAGCTCACCGAAGTATTTCGCCACTTAAGGAAGTTTGAACTACGAATGATAAATTATTCTCCAGGTAAACTTCGGCCGGACGACTGAAGGCCTTAACGGAAAGAATACGTGAAGCGCACATGTGAAAAATTGCAGTTACAAATGAAAAATTTATTTAATGGTTATTTCAGGTATTCAATGCAATGTATACGAAATTATTGGCCAGGGCAGTTTTATGCTACCATATAGTTTGATAATTTGAGAGGGCATTTCCCCAATTAGTCTTCTAAAATATTCGCCATCAAGAGGGCTAACCTTTACGAAACCCACCAAACTCAAATAATTCGACGACAAATTCTCTCAACGAAGAAAACTCTTTCAAATTAATATTTTATATTTTTTTATGTTTGCCGCGTTTTTTGGCACTGAAGAAGTAGACGTAAAATGAACCCGCAATTTTTTTATCCATCACACAAGCCATTAGAACATTTAATATGCTTCATCTCAACAATTCATGGCCTAATATTATTTTCGTTTTGAATACATTCACAAGATTTTAGAACCATCGAAGAAACTGCCCAGGCTTTTTCATTGCAAATAGTTACAAGTTCGTTCCCATGTGTCGATGTCGTTCTGATGGAATTTTGTTTTCAATATTCATTCGTTTAATCACAATATTTATTTTTTTGCGGTCTCTGTTAATTGCCTGCACCTCCTTGACAATTTATTTGACCTAACATCGCCTTGGCATGGATCACATATAAAGACACTCAGTCTCAAATTAAACAATCGAAATCAGTGGTTTCTACCAATTATTGTGCGTCATGAAAATTATCTCTTCTTACGAGTGCCGAAACATGAAAAGTGCATCATATGAAACTCACCATTCAGAAGCGCACAGTTATCTAGAACTGACATTTAATCTTAATTACTATCATGAACATTTGCTTTGACTGTAAATTATCCATTACAATGAACATTTGAGCTTTCATAATCAAAGAAGACTGATATTGTCACTAAGAATTATATATATTTTTTCTATTTTTACCCTAATTTTCCACTATACAAATCTCCTGGATCCTTCCCTTTTCCCCACAATTCTCCCCTCAAGATTTGCTCTTATTTTTTCACATTGAGAGCTGTTTTTGTGCCAATCCTCACCCTTGATTTGGCACCCAATGTGGTAAGCCTCAGAAGTGAGGTCAGGTAGAGTGGCTAACGTGCGACATTCAACGTGCGCTTATATCGCAACGGCGTGGCAAGCATGTTTAGACTTACACTTTTATCATCTAAACTTAACTTGGTTTCTCTTTCATTTACGTTTATGCTTTTAGATGTAGAGAGGGAAATAGGGCCTTATTAGTTGCAATTAAATAAAGCATTCATTCATCTTTTTCTGGAGCAAAACAATGTCAGTCATTTTAGCAGACATATAAAAGCAGCAAGAGGTGTAAATGTTCGTATTTCACAAACTGAAATTAACAAGATGAAACAAAATTTTTGCGACGATAGGTGTTGCAAAAATAACTTAGCCACAAGTTTCACAACCAATATATTTATTACTTCTTACGTATTTTACAGAAATGCACTAGCAAATGATTTTTATAGTAACAAATGACAACAAATGAAATTTAATAAGAATACGGGGCAAGTGATGTTTTGTCTACACACTATAAATTTCATGGGGAATTTTACCGTAATTCATCTCCCTAACAACACGAACGAAAAGCCGCAAAAAAGCAGGCAACATCTGAGTCAGGGACCTACAGAGCACGTACGAACGTAAAGGGTAGTGTGTACAAATGAGCACAAAAAATATATCAATAAAAATATATATCACAAAATATATATATCACAAATATATCACAAAAAATATCAATATGAATATGTAAAAACAGTGATCCGTGCAGATCATGAAGTGATTGGGAGCAAACCACAAGAGTTAATACTTTTCCATGACGAGTTATGTAAAACTGGAGCAGAAAATTGAGGTTAATTTCTTTTAAAAGCTATATTTGATCTTATTATTTAATTATTTTTCATTTTTATAATAACTATTTTCTATGTATTCATAATTTTTTATATATACCTACAATTTTTATATATATTTATATTAATTTATATTATATCTATATCATTACTTTCAAGAAATTTTAAAATCAGACATTTTATCAATTAATTGAAATCACAATCGTCATCATCAAAATGTTGGTTGAATACGAGTACTAAATACTAACCGATTTGATTGTTCATATGACTAATTCGAATTTTTTCTATAATACAAAGCAGCTTGCTTTTAATTTTGGCTACAGCTATGAGTCGCATATTGAATTGAGTTAATCCAACCCAACGAGTGTTAATTCACTTTATTGAAACTGGAAAACTGGAAAGAAGAAAAAATAAAATCACTCCAACAGGTTCAAATTATTAAATTTTTAGAAACAAGCATGAATGTGCATGCGCTGTTCAATTTACACGGGATATTATAAAAAAGTTATCTATTTTGAATGAGTGATTGAGAAAATAAATTGCATCGATAGCTTTCTAACCGAATCTTTGAAACATTATTTCCAAATACAGGATGGTTAAATGTTATCGAATTAACGCAGTTTGTTTCAAACCATTCGTGTAAATTTTCTGGTCATTCAAAACCATTGAAAAAAGAAACCTTCAATGCAGGGCATGTTGCGATCATGTTTTAGTATTGATATTGTTTTTATACAACCAATAAAAGACTAGATTGTGACCAGGACTTGTGCGCAGTACTCGTTGTTCTGGGCATTACCTACACGTGTTGGGCTGATGGCGTGTGATGCCCATAACAAGAGAGCGACACGGCACAATATCAACGTGTAATATGGAAGCTGTGATGCAGAACTTGATGTTCTGTATCACCTCATATAAGTGATCAGCGGAGTTGTTATAATGATATTTCATTAGGGCCGTGATGAAAAACGCTATATTATGAATCACCTCGTAAAAGCGAGCAGCTTTTATGTTGTTATGTCATTTATAGAAGTTATTATAATATTATATTCTTCTAATGCCGTACAGAACAGGATGCTTTGTGTCGTTTCTTAAGGCAGCTCAGCTCAGCTATTTCTCGACACGGAAAATACGAGGAAAAAGATGTAGCGTGCCACAACCTTGTATTAATCTTGTTATATACTGATTTACTCACAGGCATATACGCATGTAGAGTTATCAGAATATGAAGCTATTTAGATTAAGAGAACGTGTAACTAGTGTACTGTACGGCTTGTTACATATGTAAGATTTCAAGTGTGGTGCGTAATTTAAAATTATTATTATACTTTTCTCCGGATCCCGCTTATGGGTACAGCAATTGCGAGATATAAAATATTGAGACTAATAAGTAATGATTACGTCATACTCAATATACATCTTATCGATTTGCAATTTTAATCTTTGTCGTGCGAAATTTATTTTGATTGCCTGTCACTTCTTCACTACATTCTGGTTTAAAATTTACTTCCGAATTAGAGTAGTACGGTTTTAGGTTATAGAGTATGCAGCGTATATAAGAAAAGTAAAAATTACATCAGAATAATTTTATTCGAATCCATGAAAGCCCTTCAACTACCGGAAAAAAGCTCCATTGTAATAGAATAAAAATATCTGTTTAGAATAAACTACACAAAAAAGAAACTCAATTTAATTCATCGAGATTCTCAGAAGACGGAATCAATTACGTAATAGGTTGCTAATTTATAATTGTAGATTAAAAATATAATGTTATAGAAAATTTAGCAATTTGATCATTTTTTATGCAACATAAGTCATCTATGCGAACAAAACTAATAAAGGTTGTTGAAAAGGTGGTAAAAAAAGCCGGGTGCTGGTAATCTCCAAGTTATTCAAACGCTTCGCCTTTAGGCTGCTCCTAAAAAAAGACAGCCTCGTTGCGTCAGTTTAGAGGACACTAGGGCTAACTGCATACAAAAAACAACACCTTCAGATGAAGCTTGAGGCTAGTTAAACCAACTTGAAAAAACTTCATCATTCGACCTTCGTAGGCGAAGCTACTGTCCAGTTTGCAGTGAGCAGACACAGATACCGCTTGAGTGTTGGTGGCAGCGTCGTGCTAGAAGTGCTCCAACAGTTGTCTAGCCAGGCTGCGATTCATTAAGTACTAAATCGGATCGTAAATTTTCATCCCTGTTAATTAATTCCGGTAAATTGAAGGAATTGCTGGATATTTTTCGAGATGAAGTTGGTAAGTTTGTTGAATGAAAAACTCTTACTAGGCATTTTTTCCAAAAGGCGTTGAGCTTTTTCTTATGTGAAGTTGAAGTTATGTCACGCAACGGAAGGCCAATACAACTATAAATAAAAAAATTTAGTGAATAGACCATTTTTAGAATACAAAATATAATTTACCTTCTAAATAAATAATTATGTATCGAAACAAATTCAGTGTTTAAATTTTAGTCATGCCGTAAGCAATCATGAAAAACAATTTGCGTACGGTACGTACTTGCAGCATCTCTGCAATGCTACCTTGCATACGAGTCTCATACATGCCAAGTGGCTGTGCACATATGAAATGATTTGATCTTTTTCGTCTGTCAAAGGATCGTTCATAAGTCATTATGTATCGAATCCGAACTGTAAACAAAGGCAGAACTCTGCGAGCAGTACGCCTTGGTTTGCTGTATGATAGATTTATTTTCCTAGGTTCGGTTCATATATAGATAATTTCGGCAAAATAAAGTGATCGGAAAGCGGAAAATATCCAAATTTATACAATGTAAACAGAAGGAAAATCTTATCATTATTCTAAAATAGGACCAATTTTATTGGTCATTCAGATGACCAATGAAAGATGAGAAAAAATGAAATAAAAATATTTTCAATCAAATATATGAAAATTCAGATTGAATATGATTTGAATAGGGAGCATTAAACATCAATCCGAATGTAATGGTTTAAATGCAAATGCCATCTATGGGACCAGCATATTGACGCGAGACCATAACTTTTGTTTGTTAAACATTACAGTGAGGTGGCAGTCACAGTTCATGGCTCTCAAAATTAAAAATTAAAATTTTCTCGTTATTCATTTATGATGAAATTCATTCAAGTGAACTCATTCCGATTTTTTATGAAAACTAAATTGCTTGAGGTAAATTAGCGATGCGAAATTCAGTTTATACAAATTCTCAAAGTGAATTATTACTTATTACCCACAACTATATCAACAAAATTACCATCTGCTCTCTTAGTTTCCCAAATGATACTTATCCAAATTTTTCTATTCGTGGACAATAATAACTTTCTTGACTGAGTATTCAGTTTTCCAGACGGAAACTCACCCTTGCAGAAGTGGAAGAGTACGAATTTGGACACACTTTTTGCTTAAGGATGTCAAATGCGTCCAGGGTCAGCGGGGCAAATAATGCGGTATCAACCCATGCTCGACCTCGTCTTTAAGATTATTTTATTGTAGTGAGAACGTAGCTGAGGATTGTTAGAATACTTGCTTTATCGCAAAGAGAATGTACAATTATTTATAGCATTGCCGGCGCCTCGTAGAATAAGTATGAATTGCGCCATGATTCAGACGATTCAGAAATTCTTCACAAATATGAACGAAATCAACAGTGAAGAATGGAAATAATATGAGCTAACTGAACAAAATAAACCTCTAGTTAATTATGCCGATTTATGAAAGCCATATAATAGCAAAATTTAGGCTAAATTTGTTCTTTCTGAGTAAATGAATTTACGTAAAATTCAGTGTAATGGTAACGGAATTAACAATGTATAATTTAATTTTTGGTATTAACAATTTATTTTAGTATTCAGAGTATGAGGACAGTGATTGCAGTGCGATTTCTATCTAATTCAGGGACAGGAATCTTATCCGAATCTATGTGTACTTCCTATAGTCTTAGAAGGAGATTACTTTTCCATTGAAGAAGAGATGCTCTAAGGCATTTCAACCCGGACTTGTCCTCTGAATCCAAGTGCGTCTAAGCATTGCGGTGAAGAATTATTGTGCCCTCCGGCACTAAAATAATAGTTATCTTCAAGGTTCATTGCATTCCATGCTAAAAAAATATTTTCAAGGCTAACAGGAAAAAATAAAGCATTGAAACTCGTTTCAGGCGCACCGTACATAAATTCAGACATGACAAAATAATTGCTGGGAGCCCCGGTGAAAATTTCTAGCTCTCTAAAAGGTTTATCAGAGGCATTCATGTAGATTTGTACTCAATAAAGCTTGGTCTCGCGTTAAAATATGTTGAGGTATGAATAAAGTAAGATTTGTTTTTACTCACCATATAAGATAACCATACATTGAACTCGAATAAGAAAATGAGAAAGTTGATGCAGAGGGCGTTCGACGAAAAAAAAACAGTGATTGATATTCCGCTTCCGTAAAAAACACAACCCAAACTGACGAGAACTGGATTTGTTATCAGTGCTACGCATGAGGCGTAGACGAAGTCTATGTTACAAAAATTTTTCGTCTATTTCACCTTTATTCAATCTGTCATTCTTGATTGATGGAAATTCTGTATTTAATTTTTACTTCTTTTACTTCTTTTCTTTACGTTTGTTCTGAGACATTTTTACTTAAAACTTTTTTCCCGCGAGATTTGTTGAAGTCGTAAAATGAAATTCATCCTCACGTAGGACCATCCCATAGATTCCCTTTGAGTAATAATTCATGTAGAAAAAAAAAACAAGTACTTCCGCGATACTTTGTGCCTGGTCGTGTGTCCTCGAACTCATTGATTTTATTTATCCTATTATAATTATTATAATTATTATTATTATTACTATTATTATTGTTCTTATTATTATTATTTATTTATCCTCGAACTCATGGTCGTGTGTCCTCGAATCTCAAAAAATCATTTTATTTACAATGAACTGTGAAATTTAAATTAAAAATTCTGCCGTAGGGTGGGCTTCATTACCATAATAAAATTATAGCAGTTACCCCATCGGAAAGTTTCGCTCTCATCATCCTATAAAGTAAGAATAAGATTGAAAATTACGATTGTTAGCGCAGATGCCAATATGTGTCTGTAACCGATTCTATATTTTAGAATTTTGAAATAAACATATCATTACTTATTCAAATTTAATGACTATTACTCGTCAAAAGACTTTAAAATATTAAAAAATTTCTTATGAGACTAGTGCCCTGTACAAACATAGGTGAATTAATAATGTGGTTTCTTTATCAGTGGTAAACAGCTAATTAAATTCGGTTAGCTTATCGTTGGTGAATATGTAGATAATTGTTATCTGATGAATATGTTAAGTGGAAGAACATTACACTCGAGGTGGAATGACAGAATTGATAATTTCAAAGTAATTCAGATTTTCACTCAACTTATATGCATTTAAAACATGAATCAAGCAAAATTTTTTTAATTTCGAAGACGAAATTTTTCATAATCAAAAATTATTTATGATGTTCAATCAACAAGAGTTTGCGTAATAATAATTTAATTAGCTATCGTAAAAAGAACCTGTAGGCGAAAAATTTAGGTTAGGACAGCATCAAAAAACGGTACTTGTCAATCAGTCAAGTTAAAAAATCTCAAATCCTGGTTAAGAAATTAATGAAGCATTTTAAAGAATAAACAAAACATTTCATGAGATCAAAGGTTTTTTAAAAGAAAAATTTGTACAAATTTTAATTTTTTACGACGATAATAAATATTCAAATATTAGTTTCCTTGACAATAATAAAATTTCTTATGAGCTCCGGAAAGCCGGCTCAACTACATTATTATTTAATAAAGAAGATTTAGCGAGATATACAGTTAATTATGATATGCACAATAACTGACATTAATTGTTAAAACTACTTATCCAATGAGGAAGAGCATTTTCAGAGCAGAGGCTCTGCTCGGGCACCGCATCTAGAATTACTATTTCAGGGACGCTTTTTACTGCCATCTTTAATGGGCAAACAGCTTGAGAGCCTCTGCTGCAGCTGAGCAAGCGCCATGGGAACTCTAAGTGCAGGCATTTGATCGAATTATTGCAATTTTGTGCCAAGGTTAAAAATATAAACACAGCTTTTACAGGCATGTTTTCCTGTGTATTGACGAGTTTAGGTGAAAAACTTGCTTATCATGAGTCATCCCTTTTCCTTTCTTATACACTATTTCACTGATGTTTGATATTACTCGAATATTATCGAAATTTTATAGATATTCTATCGCCGTTGAACTATTAAAATTAAGAATAGATTCAATTCTGCAACGTAAAGCTTTCTGTATTGATAAAAACAAATTCTGTATGGCTCGTTCCTATGCATATAAAACTTCTATTGCACACTGGTAATGAACGAAGTGAATTTCGTAGGACTGGTGCCATATAATTTGTAGAACTTAATCGTCTAGGAAACCAAATTTAAAACGGATAATACAGTTCTTTTTCCACCACTGATTTGCCCACCCTTTTTAAGAACCCACCCTTACCCTTCCCCACCCACCCTTTTAAGAAGCGATATTTTTGCAGACGATTTATTTCTTATTCCTTGGGTTTTTTTTTTGCTCCGAGTTATATTTTCCTTCAACCGATGATTGCAACGTTGCTTACTTTGGGTTTACGAAGGACAAACTCTGGGCAGCTGATGCCTGCATCTTTTTCTAACTAAATCTTAAGGTTGCCAGAGCCGCTGCTTGCAGACGCGTTTTATGCAAATCTCTTCGAGACTGAGTGACTATATTTTCTATAGCAATACCGACTCATTTCTTAATGATGTGGATATTAATTGACTGTTTCTTCACGAAATATGAACTGCGTTGCCACTAATGAATTATTTTATAGTCTTCAATTAGGATCAGGCACGCAATAAAGTAATATGTTCAAGTGAGACTCTCAAATATGAGTGATTAAAATGAAGCATTGGAACTCTTTTTACCGGGTGTTTTAATTTATCACTATTTATCGCTAAATATTGTGTTATGAAAATTGTACTTTTCCAAACAAATTAGCGAGTTTGATGCTTTTTACTTACGCATATATAAATCAGCATTGCCTCATTCCTCGAGCCCTGTAGTCGGGAGGAGCCCAATCGATTCACAGGCAGGAAAAAAACCGTACCTATTTTTAAGCTGCATTTAAGTGCATACAAAGTACATTGAGTGTAGGAACAAATGATACATTCAAGTTAGATCGTGTTTTTACCGGAAATATTTTCTGATCACGTTCAATATGTCTAATTATTATGGAATATTACGTAACCGAATATCTTACAGATATCTGTATATTCCAATTCCATTCATATTAACTGCTGAAAATGCCATATCGAAAAATTTAGCTGATTTGCGATCTCTCATTAATTATTTTCACATATTTCAGATCACGGTGTCGACCATAGCCGGGCTGCTGGTTGTACTTGCATTACCCGAGTCAACCACCGCTGGTCTTCATCCCATTAAGTCTTTCGCCAAAGGCTTCATTGCTGGTGTCTTGAAAAGCCTAAAAGGAATTGAACATCGCAACTCTGATCGCCGACGCAACTTTAGCGGATCCGCCTCTGCCAATCTGAGTTTTGGTGGACAAATCACACCTCACGGATCTGGAACGCGTCAAAACTGGAACGGGGCTAGAGTTGACCTTACAGGGAACTTGGACGTGCGTGGTCAAAGATATCCGATTGCACATCCTGATGGGAGACAAACTATTCGCAGGATATATGATGGAAATCTGTCATTTGACGCTAACATCACCAAAACTTTGCATCAGACAGCTACTTTTGCCCCTGTTAGTCCCATCTCACCTGTAGTTCAAGTGACAGTTGCTCCAACTGAAAATGTTTTGATAGTTAAACCAGATAGTCTAGAAGTCTCATACCTTCCTCCAGTTTCTGAGACACCAATTGTGGCCGAACCCCACTACGAGCCCGCAGAAGATGCAGCATTAGAGGTTATTGCTGAGACTTCGGTTGCAGAAAGTGCAGGATTAAACAGGGCTGAGGTCACCCAGAATAATAAAGGTGCCACCTTCACAAACGGCGCTGTCAATATCAACGTTGCCAATGCCGGCTCCGGAACTGGCGCTATCATCAACTTCAGCAGAGGCTTCCCTCGAAGTGGATCTGTGGTCGTTGACTCTGGGACCGTTACAACCGATTTCAGTAATGGAGCAGTCTCTACTGATTTCAACGGAGATTCGACATCTACTGGAGGGACTGACGATAACTTTAGCGATTTTGGTGAAACCGTCGATTCCATGAGCACCGTCGATTCTGTAGGTACGCCCGAATCCTCTTCATCATTTTTCAATGGTGGCGCACCTACTGATACATTTGATTCTCTTAATGGCGACACCACCACATTTGACGATTTTGGTTCCGCAGTCGAAACAACAGCAGATACGGCGTTTGATGACAATGAATCCGGTGATCCTTTCAGTTCCTTCGATAATTCTGACACCAGCACCTTTGATTCTGGATCCTCAGTATTCACCGACTCGGAAGTTACAAGTGATGGAACCAGTAGCTACGCTACTGACGCTGGAAATGGGTTTACCACTACGGCTGACGCTGGAAATGGGTTTACCAGTGGATCTGTGTCAGTAGCCAGTGCTTCAGATCTCAGAACCGGAGGATACGAAGTCCATACAATGGCCCACGCATCAGGTACCACGGGCGATGATGTAGAAACTACAGTCTCTGTATCAGGGGCTCCAGCAGAAGTGTACGATAAATATGTTCAGACTAACATAGACTCAGTTAGAGAACTTAGCGATATTGCCTTGAATCATGGAAACGGCCTGCCTATTACAATCCAGTTACGTACTCGCCACAGAGTGGAAACGCCAACACACCCTGAAACAGCTGCCGCGGCGCCAAGAAGTTATTATGTTCAGGGCATTGGGTCTCTTTCGGCTGATGGCTCGTCAGTGCTCTTGCCTGACGGCAATTGGCACATGGTAAGGAAAGCTCCGCTGCTTTATAAATTTAGAGAAGTAATTGAGAGTCCAGATGCTACTCCCACTGCTACAGTTTCTGATCATCATGTCGATACCGTGCTCGTTGTGGACGAGAATCTTGTCGAGGGTGCATCTGCTGCCAAATCAATCTCAAGTGTTCCAGTAGGAGCCAATTTAATGAGGGCCGATACGATATCTCAGAACGAGAAACTAGTCAACGGACCGAATAATTTCCAGGGTCGTAGAGGTTCCAATAGCAGACCAAACGATGATCACATAATGGCCATGTTCGCAAGATTTGCCGATGCTCACAGGCAATCTTTACTAAGGAATCCTAACATGAGCAGCTCAGTTCAGACTGGACCTTTCAGTGCCAATGGTAATCGTGGACGCACAATGAATCGACATTCAACTTTTGAGGGAGAAGCCTACAGAAATCGCCTCGACGAAGTGCTTGCGGAGGCGGCACTAGAGCAACGCAGCTTGAGTGACCTGAACCGTGCCAACGCGTACCGAGTCCTCTCATCGAACGCTCAACTTCCTTCACCTAACCTTGGAAAAATGGCATCACAGGCGGTGGGTATTTCGGGTGTCTCTTCGTTGGATCGAAAGGAAAACAGTGGAATTACACGAGCCACACTTCGGTTCAGGCAAAGAATATGATCTCTGCAACCAGCTGTGCGAAAGATTGCCGCTCATCACATTGAGTTTTTTACATTGGAATGAGCGGTTAAAAATCTACAATAATAGCATTTCAAAGGATGTTCGGTCATTAGTCAGTGATGATTAATGTTTAACTAGTACCTGTTATGGGCATGACAATAGCTTATATTTTGTATTTTCGCCAGGTGGTGCTTGAAATTTTTTGTTCTCAAAATTACGGTTTCGATTGGAAACAAAAAATACTTGTACATAGATAATAGGAAATACCTAAGTAAAATACAACTCCAATCCTTACAATTTTCTTTTGTATCAGTCCTAATATGAGAGAAGATATAAGAAAGTCTTCTGAACGTCATAATTTTCATTCACCATCGAATTTTATCCAATGTTTGAAAATGTTCAAATTAAAGTTGCTGCATCATTCACTTCTTTATTGTAACAAATTATCACAACTACAAAAAGGCACTCTTATTTCTAATCTCCCTATTTCAAGGAAAATAAAGTAGTTTTGAAATTATTCGCCGTTTATTATTATCCTTCTGACTATCATTAATTCATGGGAATCAGGAACGTGGCTGATGGCCCAGTGGCCCAGTGGTTACACCAAGCTTGGAGCAGTGAATTGTGGGTTCGATCCCAGCTTCCTGCGCCTGTTTTGGCAAAATTCGGTGAGGAGGTTGAGCGGTTAAGCGACGCAAAATTGGAGCAGTGAGTTGCGTGTTCGAGCCAGCAATAAGCTGTTAATATTCTGCAATGTAAAGAATCGGTGACAGGCCTAAAGGCCTAATTAACGCTGACATCACTATACCACACTACTATACCACTCAAATATACCACTATACTATACTATACTATATATATAGAAGCTGAAAATATCTGATCTTTTTAAATTTATATGTATCAAATACTCCTCAATTATTTAATTTTTAATACGCATCAATTCTTTTTTAATTTAACAAATATGCCTCAATTGTTTTTAAATAATTAGTTACTCCATAGGTGAAAAATTGAGATAAATCGGAAATGATTAAAATCATTTAATACTATCTTTAAAAAACTTTTAGCAAGACTAAATTAGAAGTATTGTTATGATTGACCTTCTTGCTTCAAGTCACGTGAAAAAAATATCGAAATCGGTTTCTGTTTATTTTCTGAATTTTCAATTTACATAAGTTGTGATTGATTTTTGAAGTAAATTTTTATTAGAAGACTTTTTATATAAAAACATTTATTTCAAATCAAACCTTGATATCTTCTTTTACATGCACATATATTCCATCTACTCTATAATTATTAAAAATCGTTCGTAATTGTTTAAGATAGACAAGAAATGAATTATAAATTCATAGGCATGCATACATATTGTAAATTCGTAATAATTTGATTGCAGATTAAATGTGATGCATTAGAGTTTAAAGCCTCGAATCATCTTACAATGTTTTTTTACTAATTAGTGGTGCAGGGCAATTTAAAAATGCTTCTAAAAATCTTGACTTTATTTCATAGTTTCGACCTCACATGGATCTCTAGTGCATGCAATAGCCAAACATTTTCATTCTGTAAGTTGGCATTTTGAACAACCGACGGATACAATAACTCCAGGATTTCATCAGGAGGATTAGTGAGTAGCAATTGCCACAATAAAATGCAAAATTATAATGTACTCGTCGTATAAAATTCCAATTGCTGCATTCATTTCTTTCAAATTTGAATTTAATTATATCTCAGACATAACAAATCGCATTCAAATCCACGCAAAGCAAGCTTATAGTGATCAATATATAGTGTTAATAGTGTTAATTTAATAGAGTTAATATAGTGTTAATATATAATATAATGTTAATATATAATATAGTGTTAATTAGGACACACTGTGTCCTAATTAACGATGTTATATATGCCATCATTCAATATTTTTACGAAATTTTCTAAGAGTTTAAGAAATATTGTAGTTTTAAAATGCTTCTCAATTTGCCGTGGATTCTTGATAACTGATAACCGTAAGCTTCATATACATTATATCGTTAACTCATATTATTGTGTTGTACATTATAACGTATTGAGTACAACAAATTCATTTTATTTTTGGCTCATATTATTGGCTTGTACATTATAACGTATTGAGTACAACATATTCATTATATTTTTGGCATCATATTATTGGCTTGTACATTAAAACGTTTTGAGCTCCCGGTTCACGTCTCGTACACACTTAGTATTCCATCCACCGAACTTATAAAAGTTGAGAGCAATTTAAAAATGCTTCTAAAAATCTTGACTTTATTTCATAGTTTCGACCTCACATGGATCTCTAGTGCATGCAATAGCCAAACATTTTCATTCAGTAAGTTTGAACAACCGACGGACACAATGACTCCAGCGTTTCATCAGGAGGATTAGTGGGTAGCAAGCCTTAATAAAATGCAAAATTATAATGTAGTCGCCGTATAAATTCGAATTGCTGCATTCATTTCTTTTTAAATTTCAATTCAATTCAATTTCAGCGAAAGTCAATCGATTTTAAATCCCCGCAAGACAAGCCTGTAGTATTTAATTCAGGTACACATACAGTGCGATTTTTAGCGAAGTTAAATATGCCAATATTCAATATTTATACGAGAATTTTTAGGAATTAAGAAATATTGTGGCGGCAAAGTGCTTCTAACTTTGCCCTGTAATCTTAACCGTGAGCTTCATGCACATAATATCATTAGCTCATATTATTGTGTTGTACATTTTAACGTATTGATAACAACATATTCATTATATTTTTGGCTCATATTATTGGCTTGTACATTAAAACGTTTTGAGCTCCCGGTTCACGTCTCGTACACACTTAGTATTCCATCCACCGAACTTATAAAAGTTGAGAAGACCTCGATAATCGAGAAAGGTGACCGCTTCAGGCCCAAGTTTATCACAGTTTACGGTCTAAAAATTCGATTTTAGGCAGATTGTGAGGATGGCCGAATTTTTCCAATGCGTTTGACCAGAATCCAATTTGGAGAGGTTACAAGTTTTGATAGAAAATTGAGGTTCTCCCGGAAAAGAAATATAGATGGAAGTGGTTCTCGTGGCTGCTATATATTAATTGGTGAAAAATATACGGTTAAAATTAGTATTTGCTAAGCTTATCCGTTAGAGTTCGATTGCTTAAATCGAAAAAGATTGCTTAATGCTGAGAATTTTAAGTGATATTATAATATTTTATCGTCAGTGATTGTATCAAGTATTCATCAAGTAGATATGCTTTGAAATTACTATTAATTATAAAAATCAAACTATGAAGGAAATAAGCGCACAAAAGGCTAGCACCAAAGTTAAACACGCTACCTCTGCTGTAGACGTCGCGGATTCATGGGAAATTTTCACTGACAAACCGGTATGTTCAAGTGAAAACATTTCATCATAAACAGCTAACATTTCTGCGTATTTGCCGAATGAATGAGAGTGCCATGTCTAATGAAAGGGCCATGTCTAATGAGAATGTCATGCGTATAGCAGAGGGATGGAATGAAGTATGATAACTACTCAATTTTACTCGAAAACCCAATTTAATGAAAATCTATAGATCTTCATTTACAGTAGACAAGGATCAAAATTAAACTACATGGACGAAATCTCCGTATAGATAACGACGAACATAAGAGCAAGAACTGAGTAACGAAATGTTATCGGAACCAACGATTATTTCAACATCGGCTATCATTTTTCCGTTCAGGATATCGTCAATTAATGCGTCCACACGACAATCTTAGTCTTGGCAAATCAGAGAGGCTTGTAAAACAAAAATTTCTGATGAAATCAGAAAAAAGCTTCTTAAAATCAAGGAATTCTAGCGAAATTCTACATACAGTAGCTGCCAGTTGGCTGCAGTCAGTCGATGTCCATAACAAAATACACTATTATCAGAAAAACTTGGTTCTTAATCTTGCACGTGAAAGAAGATTTTAATTAATTTTCAGCAATATTATTGGATAAAAAATAAGGAAAGTTGATGAAATAGGAATTGGTCATTGAACTATCTACAATCCTTAAGGTTAGTGAGCCTTATGTTAAGCTAAGGGTTAAATACGGAACTGTCAGGTGGTCTAAATTAGAAATATATTCAGACTATTTGAATCCGGGGGCCGAAGCAACGTAGGGACTTGGTGGACCAATATGAACATTTAAGTCTGGGTTGTTGTTAGGACGACTGGTACCGAAACCAGCGTTGATCGTGGCTACAAATTGTGACCTTAAGACTCCAGATTGTCTGTGTTTATTTGACTCTAAACCAACATTCGTCTGGGAATCAAATCTTGAGTTTGATCTAGCGTGAGACGATATGTCTGATTGGTGTTGACCCTCGAAGTTTTCGTTTCTACTAGTGTGTGATGATCCGCCATTTGGTGGAAGGTATGCGTCGTTGGGGCGAGAAGATGAGGGACCCGTCGGAAGGATTTGGTGGCCGTTGAACACAGTGGACGATGAAGGGGGTAGTACTGGGATGGGTTCGGAGAAGGTAACGGTAGGTGGAGGCACTGGCCGGGGCTTGGAGAATGACACACTTGGTGGAGGCACTGGCCTGGGCTCGGAGAATGACACACTTGGTGGAGGTACTGGGCTGGGCTTGGAGTCACTTGGAGGAGGTGCCGGATGCTGTTGATGGAATAAGATTAAAGTTGCGTTGCAGAAGTGGTATATCTGGACGGAGGATTCCCTCACAGGCGCTGTGAGAGAGTGAGTGGGAACAAATTTTTTGTTAGTTAGGTCAAAGTTAGGTCAATAAATTCATGTTTTTGTTTGAAACAGCTTTTTAGAGGAAAATTTAGGTTACGTGAATATAAAGAAAGCTTTTACGAATATACAATCTTTACCGTGGGCTGCGTTCATAATTAAAGGTTCCATTGACAACACTAACTATTGTACTTACGCTGTAGCTGCTTTCAAACTGAGAGATGGGGGCAGAATTCACTGGATTGGAGAATGAGACGCTTGGTGGCGCGACTGGGCTGCCGTATGAGGCACTTGGTGGCGCGACTGGGCTGCCGTATGAGGCACTTGGTGGTGCGACTGGGCTGCCGTATGAGACACTTGGTGGCGCGACCGGGCTGCCGTATGAGGTACTTGGTGGCGCGACTGGGATGCCGTATGAGGCCTTTGGTGGTGCGACTGGGCTGGGATCGGAGACCTTAGGAGGTGAAGGAACCTGTTGGGAAAAGGCAGAGGGAGATAGAGGCTTATTTACAGGAGTAAAATTCTGAAGAAACCGATGCATTGTGCGACTGGATATGAGCAGATCTCGATCAGATCTGAGAGCGATTTCGCTCATTTTGGTTGGTCATTTCGATTTCGCTCATTTAGCGCTAATTTGATTCTAGTGATGTAAAAACATGAAAAACCATACTAAAGCATATGATAAACATTATAACTGGACGTTCCTCTTCCGCAATGAATTTTTTCACTTACGGGTGGTTCGTCGAGCAGTGGGAAAGGCACTTCAGGGCCCGAATGAGCAGAAAATGATGCTGAACCTCCGAACGCACCGCCCAGTCCGCTGGTCAAGGCTTTTCTTGTGATGTGACCGACAACGTGATCAATAATGGCAGTTTTAATTGGTTGCAAATTTAATTTCGGGACGGAAACAGGGGCGGGAACAGAAACATAGCGCACCGCGGGTACAGGCTTATACAGAACGGGTTGGTAGATGACCTGTGGCGTATGAATGAAATTGTTTGACTTGGAACCCCCTTTGCCAAGAGCTAGCTTCCCGAATTTAGCTTTCTTGAGAAGCTTAGCCTTTGTGAGGAGAGTAGGCGCTCCATCGCTCTCAGGGAGCACCATCAGAGCCAGCATCAGTGCCAGCAACACGAATCGTACCTGCAACACACGCAACAGCTCATCAGAATACTGGAAAGTATTTGTCACTTTATAAATACTGCATCAATCGATACATAGGATTTGGTCTGCCTGTTCTAGGGTACAACATCTGGTTTTACTACAAAACATTAGTTGCATGCCAGTATTGAGGTGCATGGCAGAAATGTTTAAAATGATTAACTGACATTTGTTTGCGAAGCACGGGAATTTATCTTTAGTTGTAGATTTTCGATGAAAGTTTTTGATATGATGTAAATCACTTTTGGGGAGTTGGTATTGTCAGTTTGGTGTTGGGATCGGCAGTTCAAAAACCTAAAACACACTTACAAAATAAAGTAAAATCAAATCTTTTTTTTTTTGTTTTTACGTCTGAGGGTTTAATGTTTATTTCAAGGGAATTAGTATTATCTCTATTGATATAAATCTACACCGTACAGGTATTTATGTAAACGGGAACAGCATTACTGGAAGGTTAGGGGTAAAGTAGAAAGGTACTTGGCCTAACAGTTTTAGGCCTAAGTTCTTAAGAGAAGGAGGAATTTTTCTTACTAAATTAATAATCAGCAGCATGAGGTGGATAAACTACGGCAATTTAATGCACGAGGTTCATGTCTTTATACGGCGGTTAATTACCAATAACTAACATGGGCCAATGTTCTAGTGGATAGCATCATACGGTGGTTAACTAGCATAAACCAACACACGCGCTAGTGGATAACATCATACGGTAACCAACACACGTGCTAGTGGATAACATCACACGGTGGCTAACTAGCACGAACCAAAGTGCTAGTGGATAACATCATACGGTGGCTAACTAGCACGGACAAACTTGCTAGCGGATAACATTATACGGTGAAAAAATAACATGAATCAATAGGTACTTGTGGTAGATCATTCATTCACTGTGGTTGCGTCATTCACTGAATAACTTTCATGAACGAAGGCATGTGGTGGATAACATCACGCGATGGATAACTAGCGTGAACAAAGGCATGTGGTGGACAACGTCCTGTGGTGGATATCTTGCGCGTATGATATCTGGTGGATATCTGGCGCGTATGATATCCATATATCCATACCAGATATCTGGTGGATATCTGGCGCGTATGATATCCATATATCCATACCAGATATCTGGTGGATATCTGGCGCGTATGATATCCAGATATCCAGATATACACCAGATATCCAGATATCCACCAGATATCTGGTAGATATCTGGCGCGTAATTTCTTGTCCTCTTTGCTATTTGTACTTTTCTGTTGTTTTTCATTGTGTTAGCATTTAATTGATCAAAACATAAAATCTAATTATGTACTTTAGATTTTACAAATTTCGCAGGTAAAAGAACGAATTACATACAAATTTTGTAACAAAAATATAAGCTTTTTCTAGGCTTTCTTTCCGTCGCATGAGACATGAAATTTAGTTTAACGTAACATTGTCTTGCTAAATAATGCATTCGAATTTGCACCATTTAATTAGCTATAGAGAAATACGTCGAGTTTCTTCCCTATTAACGTTTGAAAAAATTTACAGTGTCGCTGATAAAATTTTTTTCGGGAAATTCATTAAATTTAGAAAAAATACGCTGCCGGCTTCAAATTTTTTCAAAATTAACACGCATACGTCAAATTATTGCATAAATGATAAATTTTGGCATAGAATCACTGCGCATATAACATATTAAGCCTACAAGTATGTCTCACCTTCACCATTCTGGAACGTCTGCTGGAACTGGACTGACTACAGAGACTGTGGATGCTGGTGGGTAGCTGAAGGCGGCTTATATAAGGTTCGGTAGGCCTAAACTGTTCGGTATTCTTTCCTATCTCGGGGCAGGTAAGAGCTTACATGTAGATTTAGATTTTTTTTCGAATTAAGCTCGGCTCAAAATCTAACTCGGATTTGACCCGCCAGGTGTTCTTTGTTCACCACAGGGAAAAAGAAACCGTAGCCTATACGACGACCTCATCGGTCAGCAAACTCATAAAAAACGAGATTATTCAGATTCAGTTTTTTTCTTAGAAAAATGTCCTAATTGAATCACAAGATGTCTTATTGGAAAAACTTATAGCACACATGAAATCAAATCACATAGATCATACGATATACGTACGATGTTTGCCATAGTTCAGGCGAAATAAATTTCAATTTTCGATTCGCTACACTAAACATACTGAGTAGATCAGGCTCTTTTTTTCACAAATAGCTTTATTTATTAATAAATTGTTAAGTCTATAATAATTTATTTTGATATCGTTTATGGATTGAATCAATATTTATAAATTTTATAGAATGAGCACTCGTAGCCAAGAATATTCGGCGATTGGAACTCTACCAGTCAGGCACACGATCAAACATTCACTAATTTCGTGCATTTCTAGCGCACTTTTCTCATTTATGGAAAAAAACGCTATTGTGCTCGTCATGTCCGTCCGTGACTTCGCGTCACAAGGGACGGGAAATGCGCTCTCTGTCACTCACTGCAGCGAGCACTGTGTTACATTTTTTCGGTAAGTCTTGCACAATACCAAGTGTTTCTTTGGTTATTTACCATAGCGAGAATATGTATTTTGCTTACCCCATTACAATAATACATAAATAGGATTTCAGTTATTAGCGCATTTTCTCATTTATGGAAAAATGCACTATTTTGCTCGCCATGCCCGTCCGTCTGTCCGTCCGTGACTTCACGTTTTCGTCGACGAGAAAATGCGCTCTCTGTCACTCACTGCAGTGAGTACTGAGTTATATTTTTTGTTATATTGTTGGTGATCTCCCAGGCAAGCCTTTTTCTCTTCTTGTATTGTAAATTGGTGTTTGTTCGTTTAACGACTCACATCATCTAATAACATTCGTTTAAATAGAATTTGGTAAAAGCCGAGGTTTCAACTTTCGACCTTTACATTAAAAATATATTCTTTTGTCCAACACTATTTATGGCTGAAATGAAAACATTTCCCGCAAAACTTTTCATTTACTATCGTCTTATTTATTATATTTATAGTTGAAATGAAAATATCGTCCGTCAACTTTAACTTTTTTAATGTTTTTTTTCAAGTACTTTTTTTGGCTGAACATTGTCCGCCAACTGTTTTTAGATGCATCAATAAAACTAATAATTATGTTCAGTGTTACCATAAATTGGAGTTGTTTTCTAATTCTTCTGCTGTTAGATATTTGCTTCGGCTTCGACAATTTACTTTCAAATCACAGAAGGCGCCTAAATAAATATACCAGTGGATGCGTAGGTTTGATACACATCTTGTACATGTTCTGGCAAAGTTTGGTACATTAACAAACAAACATTCTGCCTATTCGTGAAGATATTTTTTTGCTCTTGACTAGGCCTACCCGAAGACGCGTTTCCATATAAATGAAATTCATCGCCAATTTTGGCCTCAATTTTCGCTCAAATGCAATTTACTTTCAAAGGCAGTAAATCCGTAACAATCGTCTTTGGATTCTCGAAATGATCACTGGAACATCGTAATGTTGAACAGGTTATTCCCAAAAATTGCTATCGAATGCGCTATGCGAAGACCTATATAAAACGCAGTACCATTGAAAGATTCAGTTTGCCGCAATTGTGGAAATGCATTCCATGCATCAAATTATACCCACCTATATTTGATTAATTCAACACGAGAACGTGTCGAAAAATATTCGTTTAAAATTAAAATATATCTAATGTCATTCATTAATATTGATGCTCAAAGTAGACTGCATATTTTCAATAACATGAACATTGAAGAATAATTCTCGAGTCAATTAATCGTAACATTTTTAGTAACCATGACAACGGCAGATTACCTCCAACTTGTTCACACTTGTCCAGGTTCTGTACGTGCAGCGATACCGATCTCGGACAGAAGGTAAACAAAATGCAGAATAAATAGGGTCTAAAAAACTGTAAACACAGTCCAGCTTCCCGCGTAGGCGAGATCAAATTTCTGAAGAATTCTTGGTCAAGTGAAAGAGAAATTCTGAAATAACATATGAAAGAGAGGAGAAAATTCTATTTAAGTGTTAATATTTTATTTGTCTTGAACCTTGGAAGTTAATAATTTAGATAATATCAAGAAATGATAATGGTGAACAGTTGATTTTCTCGTCCAGCATTTCTCGGCTTATGTTCAGTGAAGAAATATCAATTTGAATCAATTCTCAATCAATTCTCAATTCGGCAATTTAAGACAAAATTGCCGACAAAGTTATATTTAAATCATCATGTGTGTTCGCCTTGGCAATTGTGATACATCACAATTCTCCATTTGATAATTTAACAAACAAGTGATTTACATCGTCCCTGATCAGTTGAAATCCAAATAAAATATCACATGAATAAAAAAATAAACCAGTAAAATAGGAGTGAAATATCAATAATGTTCATTAAAAGTAACATAAAAATTTAAATTTATACCCAGTTTAGTGATGCATTTTACACGCTATTTTACTTTACGAGACGAGAACCGTGCAGCTAGGTGCGCTCTAGTAGCCTGCATTTATTTCCATGATACAGATGAGAATTGATTGAAAAATTTCGCGAAATGTGCGATAAATTTTGAAACAATTATTGAAATGTCCGCCTGACAAAGAAAAATTGTTTAAATATTTTTGAAATGAATATTACATGCTTTGAAAAAATATATGTGAGGTGGATCCGTGAAATATTGAAAATCAATAAAAAATGTGCCATAATGGAATGATAATGCTTTAGAAACGCATAAATAAATTCATGCTGAAATTAGGGAAGATGTAATGGAAAGTGTGGATCATCCACTAAGAATACAGTGAGCATGAAATGAAAATACAATTAAGAAAAAATATACATTGAGTGGTCTGAAATGCATGATACACAGAAGGAAAATACAAAAGAATAAAAATGAAGATGAAAACAAAGATGAAATTAATCTTATGAAATGATGTCTTCTAGGAACAGAGTTGAACGAATGGAGGATTGTGAAAATGAATTAAAATATGCGAAAAATTGTCGGAATTAGGTGAAGATTTTGCGAAAAAGACGGAAAGATTCATGTAGAATATTTGAGAATTTATTTGTTAAGTTTGTAGAATGTATAAAGGCCATTTAAACCAGAAGGAAAATATCGGTCATATGAATGAGTCTTATCGAAATTGATAGAAAATATGAAAAATACATGCGTTTAATTAATTTTTCCTTTTTAATTGGAGACTTGAGGAGTGGCTCAGGGTAAAATATACGGAAATATATTGATTATATTGATTTCATATACATGTTGAATGTATGAAAAATGTTTTAAGAATGCATGAAAAATTTACCCAAAATTTTCAAACAGTTTGCAAAAATGAATGGGAAATAGACGAAAATTATGGAAAATAATTCAATAAAAATAACAAGGAATGCCGGCGAAAGGTAAGGCCAACGTTTGAACCATTTACCTGCTTTGGTAAACCGGTAAGACGAAACAGGTGTTTTTCACACAAAGGCTGGCCTCTAAGAAACAAACAACCCGCGACCCACACGTACCTAGAGCACAGACTAGTATTCATCAAACGATTTAATTACTATGTTTGTTTCAGACCTAGCTAATGTGTTTGTTATGCAATAAATAACCTTTTAAACGGCAAGTTGAATGATATTTAGTTACTTCACTAGATTTACAGCCCGTCTGTTCACCGAATTACCGCACGTCTCAAGCCAGCCTTTCAGCACACTTCTATTGCCAGCTTTACAGCACGTCTGTTACCAGCATTACAGCACGTCTGTTACCAGCATTACAGCACGTCTGTTACCAGCATTACAAAGAGGTCAGACCTGATGCTGCAGGTGCAGAGGTTAGACCTGATGCTGCAGGTGCAGAGGTCAGACCTGATGGGCTAAACCTTCTCGTATGAAGTGAGGCATCAAGAAGATCTCTTGAAATAAGTAACTTGATGAAGCTGCATACGCAGCAATATTAAAATTTATGCTGTAAATGACAAGGGTTATGCGCATAAGATTAATTACACCCGTTTTATATGGAGATACAAAACAACTTATTGCAAAATCCTGCAAAATCCTATTTGGACGTGCGTATCCATCATGTTATTAAATAAAATCTGAGTTACCAGTACCTACAGGTAAATATGTTGACAAACACTTCGCATAAGCTGTCGACATCTGGTCAGGGAGCGGCGCTCGGCCGTTAATATTTTTCAGCTGTGCGACGCCCAATTTAAGAGCTGCTTAATTGCCTCCGTCTTTGAGATGGAGGCAAGGGATCGCTTTGAGATGCAGGTCTTTGAGGATCGCTCAATTAGTCTCGTGATATTCACTTCCCTCTGCATTATTTATCGCAAGAATATTTGCAAGTGGAAAAGTATGAACCATTATAAAGATGAGATTTTATCTTTCCAACATTTTATTTCAAGTTTTACCGCCGTTTCCTTGGATGCAACCGAAGAAATACCTATTGAAACGAATTATTATATTGCACTACAATTTGCTTAGGGAAATGACGCAAAGACATTAAGAATTAAAACATGTTAGAGAATTTCTGATCAAAATTGATCAAAACATTTGGTAATAACTAGAATAGTATGATAAACGACATATATGTCACATGCTGCCAAAGCTTTGGGAAGCTCAACGTTATATTAGATACAAGTGATTGGTAATGACAACTGGATTAATTGATAGTTGAGGCGAGGATGAAAAATAACACGAGTTCAAAAATTTTGCTTATCATTTAATCTTCTTGTCAACCAATTTGCCAACAAATTTGTAAAAAACCCAGC